TTCTCTTCGTCTTCTTTTTCTCGTTCTTTGACTTTCTCTCTCAGTGTCAGAGAGAAGCAGCCTTAAGCATTTCAGCTTAAGGCTGCCAAATGGTTCTTTTCTCTCCTTGCCTCTTTTACTGTCAATCTTGTTATTCCCTGTCTATCTCTCTACGTCCCTCACTATCGCTTCGTTCTCTTTATATATTTTTTTTATTCCCAACTCCCTCCCTCCCCTCTCTCTCTCTCCTCTCTCTCTCTCTCTCTCTCTCTCTCTCTCTCTCTCTCTCTCTCTTTCCTCCCCCGCCCCCCTCTTTCATTAAGTAAAGGGAAACGGGAATCTGGCTTTTAAAGCTGCGAAGGAAGTGAGAGAAGTAAAAAACAAAACAAAACAAAAATGGATCCAAAGTGGGCGGTAGAGAGAGCAGGTCAAAGGTTCATTGTGGCGGAAAATAAGGTATTAGAGAGTGAAGAGGAAACCGTGAAAAGGGGGCGAGATTAAAAGAGGACTGGGGAGAGATGAAGGAAAAGAATTAATGAAATAATGAGAGGAATGACTAGAATACGGGAAAAAGAGGCACGCCATGGTAAGGAGATAAAGGGTAAATGGGCAGGAGAGGGAGACCACACACTCACACACACACACACGCACAGACACACACACACACACACACACACACACGCACAGACACTTCAAGCACACACACAACATACACACGCGCGCGCGCGCGCGCGCGCGAACACACAACACTCTCCATCCAAAATTAGATAACGACTCCCTGTCTTTCAAATATCTTTAGAACATTTATTACAGATCAAAACAAGAAAAATAGAAAGAAACCTACTTTTCCATAAAAAAAACGCGCAAAAAGAACACTGCAAAAGCATGAGTGCGTGTGTGATCGATCTCCTCAGTACACACAACTGCCGGTGCTCATCAGTTGTTTTAAGGATATTGTTCCGGGCTTTTAGGCTGGGATATGGAGCAGAGAAGCAGCGTTTCAGCTTAATTAAAACCATTATCGATTCCATTAAGCACTTCCATTGCCCTTGACTCGGCCTTGATAATATCAAGTGTGTGTGTGCCTATGTACACATAAACACA